CAGCCCCTTAAATGTCTAACCTACAACCTTTTGTTGTAGCACTGCTAAAAGGGTCTCATTAAACTCTCCATTGGAAACCTTCACCATTTTTTTTAGTCAATGTGCAATTCTTTTGTCCATATGGGCATGCAGCAGAAGTTTATTTGATTAACTGCAGTCAGGATGGCATGTGTAAACCGGTCAAACAGAGTTTCTGTACTGCCATTGTTTTGACCTGCAGTGTTAACCTTTGACCTGCCCTGGGATGGAAGCCTTTTCATATGTTCAGGTTTAGTTCACACTCCCACTGATGTTAAAAATATAATCTTCACGGCAACTAAGACTGAATATGTTGCATCTTTGTGTCTGTTGCTTTAAAAACATCCTGTTTGGATGCCTACATCACTTTCTATTCTTACCTTCTTATGGAATAGAGCAGTATAAGGAACCACCGCTCACAGCATATCGACTTTCAGAGGAGCAGGCCCTGAGAAAACATATGAATGGGGGTTAACTGAGGTAAAAGATTATTTCCATAGTCTTGCCAGACTGCCACTGAGAATAGCACTGGTGTGTTTGGCAAGAAATGCTGCAGTGGTTTGTCTTCATTCAAATGTCAAGCCTTCAGTAACCTGTTGGGAACATTTTGTTTTGCTACATTCAGATTATTGAGGTTGATCTTCTTGTTTAACAAGTGCTTAACATGATTTGAAAAGATAATTAGTATAGCAAAACTAGAATAATGAAGAAGGCCCTTCTGTGGAAGCCATTGTGATCCATATGATGTATTTTCATGAAGCACTCCCTATCTGATTGTTTTCCTCTGATTGCCCATTCGAGGGAACCAAAACGTGCATGCTTGTTTAGTAGTGTGTATGTACAACGCATTCTCATCCTTTGGCGTCATATAGGTGACGCCATATGACATTTCGTCGAAATCTTACGCACATGGCATCCTTTAGCGTCAATATAACACGCACTGTTATGGGTAGGTTTAGGTCTGGGGTAGGGTACGGTTATGACGCCTTGGGATCTGCGTCTCATATTGATGCTAAAGGATGCCATGTGCGTAAGATTTCAATGAAATGTCCAAAGCGTCACATGTATGACGCCAAAGGATGAGAACGGGCTGGTATGTAATATGGTGGGTTTTTTTTTTGTTTTTTTTTAAATAAGTCTCTTATGTTCACCAAGACTGCATTTATTTTGATCAAAATACAGTAAAAACAGTAATATTTACAAATAACTCATTTATTTTTAAGAAAATTAAAATGTAACCTATTCCTGCGCTTTCGGTCTTGTGAACTTACAATGGCTGCTGCTTGCACGCGTGTCCGTTAAGTCCACGAGACCGTAGGGTTTCCCAGGGTGCCGAGTCTGCCGACAGTCAAAGTGGCGTTATGAAAGTACAGACTTGTAGAAAGGCTGCTAGTGTTTAGGGTGCCATTTGGGACAGGGCCACTGTGAATGCTGATCAGTTTATGTCATTGTCTTTGTAAATGTCTGATCCCACTAGTGCTGCCGCGATTAGTCGGCTTAGTCGACCATGCAAATTAGTCGACGGCAATTTTTTTTAGTCGACGTGTCGTTTTACTATTGACCGCTATTTATTTTTGGTCTCCCGTCACAAACGGCTCACTGTAATTCACCTCCACACACCAGTCTATGCGCCGTGCGCGCCCTGCTGGTTTATCTGCTATCATTTTCCTTCACGTTCCCGCCCGCCTTCTCTGCTTTGATATGAAAAATTGCGGAGGCAGGTGACAGAGCTTTCACAGTGGGCTCGTTTGCTGCGGTCCGAGCGCGATTGTTCCCGGCGCCCCCCGCAGCGTTGGTCTGCACTAGATCCCACTGGCCTAAATTAGTAGTGCTCTGTGTTTTCAGGCCGTTGTGATGTCTGTTGTCTTCCCTTGTCACTCTTCTCACGTTTCCGTTTCCTGCCCATAATGTCTTCCTGTGCTGAAACCCTCATACAATGGGCTTGACTCCTCAAGCACCCTTTGTCACAGTGCTGCAGGACTGCCTGACTAATACAACATGTCTGGAGGAATACTTCCCATAATGCTGATCTCATATCTTTTACTCAGGGTAAACTGACAGGATGGCCTTTAACAGTTATTGTCTTGATATGTTGGGCTGTATGCATGGGTATCATTGTAATATCTTTATCCCAAAGCCCCTGTCTAAATGGTGTTCTTGAATGATTCCAGTCATATAAATGATTCTGCTGTGAATGAAGATCAGTTATACTAAATCACTTAATTTTTGTCTAAAAGTTTAACATTAGAGACATTGCAAATATCTTTTACTTGTCTTGAGTTGGGGCAGTACTGTAAATGCAGAAACAGAGGGAGAGGCCTTGTGAGAATAATCTCATTCAGTGTGACATGAAGAATGTGCCAAGTCACAGTTTCTCTCAAGGATTCTGTGTCCTCTGTCATTTTTGGTTTTGTCACTCACTTATCCTCAGACGGACCTAGAATGATCCATCCTTGAACCAATAGTGTACAAATTACAAATTATAGATTACTGTTCTTGATTAAGAACCAGTTTGTGAACATTTCATATTTTTGCAATCATCAGGTTTTTTTTTTAGTGTTTGTTGTCTAAAATGCAAGAAAGTTACTTCTGAAATGCAAGAAAAATCAGTGAAGTCCCTAAAAAATCTCTTTGCTTTAGTCTCTGTTGGTTTACCCTGCATGTAAGAGCATCTGAGGAACACACAGATCCTTTGGTGGTTACATGTTTGTGTTATTTTATTTTCAGAATATCCTGAATATTCTTCATATTATGTTTTATATCTTTCATTATATTTCGCCCATCTACCCTCACTTCTTTTCTTGTGTCATTCTTCATCTCTCTCATGAACACAACTGTGGGAATCTACTGTGATATTCAGCCTCTGATGTACAGTTTTAGACTGGGAAGTTTATGGTACCACATTTGCTGACAGTGAAATTTTTGGCAGATCTATTACCCTGTATAATAAGAGGTTGAAAATAATTTATTGAAAGGATATATGCTTGCATGTGAAGAATGTGAAAAGTATATATTTTTCTTAGTGAGATGTTGAGAGAATATGTGTGCCACAATCTCTCCATAAAACCATGCTTGCTTCTGTTTTTTGTGTGTGGCATTTGACTTCCTGGCTGCTTGTTGTGACATCCATCCAAGCAGCAGCATAACATTTTCACGTGTTCTTCATAAATGCCATATATAAGTGAGCAGATGTGTGTTTGGGGACCATCTGTAATGTCTGTGTTCTTTTGACACTGAACTGTGTGGTGACGTTATCAGTGGCAAGCAGCTGTCAGCGATGGACTGCATCATTCTCCATGCTGTCATGGACTTTACCACTGAGCTCAGATGACTGGCCCCACACACACACACACACACACACACACACACACACACACACACACACACACACACACACACACACACACACACAGTCTGTCTGTCCCCCTTTATTTGGCAATCTCTATATTTCACTCTCTCTCCTTTGCGTACTTGAGTACACACACACACACACACGCACACGTATGTATTATATATACACATACACAGGGATAGTAACTACAACAGAACACATCATAGTGACAGACTTTTGGTCTTTTCGTTGTCAAAACAAATCCTCAAAACATTATTCAAACCCATGCTTCTGCTAAAAGCCAGAAGCTCTTCATCTGACGTGCTTCATGACATTACATCAAAGGTTCAAGTGGCCAGTAATATTTGATTCTCGTGGGACATTAACTTGGGCACAAAATGTACAAATATTCACTGTTCATGACCAGTCTGTGAATGAAGATGGTTTCAATGTTCTTTAGAAACCACTTTTCATGACTATACCAGACATCTGCCAAGTTGAGATTTATATGTTTATATATGAATTTAAAGCTGCTTTACACAAAATGGAGCCTTAAGACACTGTTTGTTTGCTGAGTCTTGGACCTTTTGAACTGGGAGTTTCAAAAGTTGCGCTGCTTTAGAAAACATTACAAACACTTGTTTACAAATGATGCTATTCCCAGGCATTGAGGAATGACTGTTTATTAAGCGTGTCTGAAAATTTTCCAAATGATTAATTGGTGTAGATGGTGAATCAGCTGGGCAATTTATGAAAGGCTGTGTTTGTAGCATGTGTTGCTTGTGCATCAGCTTGCGTTTGCTATTGAGGAAGATCATGTGTCTGCTGTGCCAGTTCCTTTCAGTTCTCACATGCCAACCAGATAAAAACTCCAAAAGTTGAATTCCACCTTTCCACCTTTTTGATTAACAAGTTAACCCACATAACGAATTGCTTATGAAGCTGGTTGAAAAAAAATGTAGAAGGCAAAAGATGACGGCTTTTAAAGAAATTTAATTATAAAATTGTTTTTGATTTACTTTACATTTGTGATATTTCACCATTTTGATTACTATACTTTTGCTTCAAAATGTGGAAAATAGTAATAATAAAGAATGAGTTGACGTGTCAGGGAGTGGACAACAATTTTAAATGCTTATCAAGAAGGCGAAAGTTCAGAGTGTTTAATTGTTTTAGTTGAATGTCTTTTTGTGTCATGACTAACCTGTCAATCCAGTGCTATTTTTGTGAAAGGTATTTATATGACTGGAATGACTGTTTACAAGCAGTCAGGGACACCACCTCTCATTTCCTCCTAAATTCCTCAAAATGATAAGCTAGTGAGAGAATTCCTAAGATCTGATGCTTAATAATGCCTTGTTTTTATCAATGCAAATGATTTACTTGTATTTACCACCACAGACTAGATGAGTGAGGTAAGGGCCAGCTGTTGACACTAATGCCTCAGTCATACTGTGTAGACTTTAATCTTTATGTCAGTAGGTAAATTACGTACAGTAGGTGGCCATTTTCATTGCTGATCCTCATCTTGATGAGGTGTGTGTTAAAGTGGTCTTTGAGAATGTGTCACTGCAATCTTTGCCTCTTGGGTACAGGTTGTTGCCTTTGTTGATTTGATTTATGACTTATTTTTTCTCTCTCCCTCTCATAGAGAAGTTGTATAACTCCCATGGCCCTGAGCTCCGGCGGTCCTTGTTTTCTTTAAAGCAACTCTTCCAGGTGAGATCATGAAACATACAGTACACGCAACGAGAGAAAGTCATATGAATGAGTTGGATTAGGCTTGTAAGATATTGCAGAAAGTGGGAAGAACAAAGAAGTTTACAGACTAAAAGAGTGAACTAAATAATTTGATATCTCATCCACATATATGTATTACAGTGGACTTGTATGCGTGATCACTTCCGCATTTAGCTGAAGTTGTGAGAAAATGAAGCAGAAAATATAATCCTGAGGAAGTATCCCATAACAGGACGACACAGTATTAATACAATCCACCTTAACATGTAATAGGTTCCAGAAGTTTTAAACACATTTAGTGTTTTTGTTTATATAATATACTAAATTATATGTTTACTAGTACATCATTATATTTAGATCATGTATGTATAATATACTAGGCCTATAATATAATTAGATGATTGGCAGATAGAAATATGACAGAAAGAGCTACTGTTTGCTATGGAAGAATACTTTACCAGAAGCTTGTGTAGCATGAATATTTTAGCAGAAATATGTAGTCAGTAGGCCTATATCAAGTCCATTTGAAAAGGTTTTAGAAAAATAAGAAGGAAGGTTAAAAATGGCTCATTTCAAATCATTCATGGATGACAGGTCCCTAGAAAATAAAGGGGTCATGAAATGTAGTTGTATTATTATTATTATTATTATTATTACTATTAGTAGTAGTATTTGATTTGTTCCTTGAGGTTATCTTTTAATGTTAATAAAGCTTTTGCACAAAAAACAAAACCAAACGAATATAAATGTGGAAAAACAATTATTTTCTACCTTCATTCTGCCCCCGTCTGAAATTATCCATTTGTAAGACTTTAAGGTTAATCAGTAAAGGGCCACTGTTATTGATTGGCTAACGTCAATGCATAGGAAACCGTATCAAATCCCACTCGCTATTGCATGCGAGTAAGTGTTTTGAAAACATTATCCATATAAAACTGTCAATTACAGACAAACCATTATGAAATCATTTACTTGCGGTTTGTGATGCAGCTGTTGGCTGCTTCATCGGTCAACAAAGGTTTCTTTGCAAACTCTCCATTACACTGTGCCTCGTTTACAAACCAATCTGCGGTCAAATTCTATGAACAAACATATAATCCTCCGACGCCATTAAAAATAAACCACCCACTTGTTTCTGACGATGGTATCCTTCTGAAGTCTGTAAAGAGACGCAAATGAACCGTTTAAACTGGACACGTCAAAGCGAACATTTTTTTAATTCTTCCATTTGTCCTGTCGACAAACTCAACTGTGTGGAGCATGTCAGAAAGTGTAGAGAGAAACTGTAGACCGTGTCATTGATTATAATGGGTTCTATTTGCTTTTGATGTGACGCTCACATCCAGTGTAGGCAAGTGTCAGCCGTTAAGCGACTGAACACCAGTGGGCAGGGCCTATGGAGTGATGATGTATAATTATTTATCGATGTCTTGCTTTGGATGTCCTATTTAAACGGATTTGCCTGCGTGACGTCACAAGTCCCCCCCATATCCAAACGAGCCATTTTTGGAGCTTTGTTAAATAAATGCTTTGTTTATAATGAGGGTGACATTTTAAGAAATTAAATTTGCAGGATTTTTTAAGACCTTCAAGACCTTTTTATATGTCAAAAGATCAAGGCAAATTTGATTTATCATGTGATGACCCCTTTAACAATACCAAAAATACTTATAAAGGGCATCTAATGAGTTTATGTAATGGGAGAGCATTCTGTCCTCTTTTTTATTAGTTATGCAGTTTATAACCTTTAAACACACGATCATGGTTGTAAACAGACAAACATTCCATTGTCAAAGCACGTTTATGCAAACATACACTACCGTTTGCATTGGGGTTGTTGTTGGTAAGATTTTTTTAAAATGTTTTTGAAATGCATCTCTTTTCATCACCAAGGCTACATTTTATTTGATCGAAAATACAGTAAACATTAACATTGTGAAATATCATTATGTAAATATTGTCAAATTAATGCATCCTTGATAAATAAAATTATTAATTGTTTAAAAAATCTTACTGACCGCACAGTTTTTGAATGGTAGTGTTGTACACAGAAGCAGATTTAATTCTGTTTTATATTGCACAGGATGATAAGGACTTGGTTCCAGAGTTTGTGCTCTCCGAGGGTCTGACATGTTTCATTAAAGTGGGTGCTGAGGCAGATCATAACTACCAAAACTACATCCTCAGAGGTTTGTTCTCATATTACCATTGCTACAAAATACTTCATGCATGTCTGATTAAAAATGTTAGCAGGGTTATTGATGGTTCTGTCACTAGATGTGTGTATGTATTACGGTCCAGAGCTTCTAAAAGAAGCAGTCTATTGTAGAATATGATGTATTGTATTTATTATGCTTGTACACCACGCATCTTGCATGCAGACTTCATATAGCACAAAGGACTTTTTGGCTAAATAGGCCATCTGTTACAGGAAGTTTATACTGGCTGGAATTAGACCAGCAAACAGGAAAGCTTTAGGACAAATCACTAGATCTTTAAGGGCATGACGGCACTGTATGCTAAAATCTGCTGTCCTGTTCACAGCTCTCAGTCAGATCATGCTGTTTGTGGATGGAATGAACGGTGTTGTAAACCACAACGAGACGGTACAGTGGCTGTACACGTTGAGTGGCAGCCTGGTGAGTGATGGCAACACAAACATGCATCTCGATTTATCACACCACAGCATCTGTAAATAGATACTGAGGACCACAATACAGTATTAGTTACATTAGGGCTTTGTTATGCATACAAACTCTTTAATACCACAACATGTCAGTCAATTAATAATCAATAGATTAATGTGCAGAAGTTGATAATATATGATAATCATTTGATTCCCGATTACTTATTGAGCTAAATGACCACTGGATTATTGACCACTGGATTACTTATTTAGCTTATCTGCTAAATGATCCAACATAAATTACTAATAGATTTCTATAGCTCAAACAGTGCAGCAGTACAACAAGCTCATGGGTTTGTTTCCTTGTTGCTTTCTATTAAAGAGTCTTAATGTGAAAAAACAAAAAAGGAACGCACAACACAGTCAATTCATCCTAAGGCAATGTAATATTAGCCAAAAATATAAGGTTGGCCAAAAACTTACAAGTTAGTGCAGAGATGTAGGTGTGAATCTGGACCAAAATCAAGTTATTCGATCTACACTTTCAACCTTAACCTCTTATTAAAGTTAAATATTACTATTGTGGGAGAATAGTTTGCCAAATCCACCACAGAAATGATTATTACAGCTTACTTGATATTGAAATGGGGCACAATAAACTGGCTGGTGCTGTTGTGCAACCATTTCAGGTTTAGGGATGTTTTAGAGCTTCCCATCATTAAAGTTTAAAATATACATGCATTGTTTTGGAAGTTTCTTAATGTAAAGTTAGTGTGAATCTGCTGACATGAAATTTGTACACTTTTTACCGTAATGGATTCAGTCATCTTGACCATCAATTTGAGATTATGTCCTTCCACGGGATATCAAAGAGGAAGTGAAAATGAGATGAGAACGACTGGGTAATCTAGTAACCATCAGAAATGAAGCCTGAAACAGACTTCGTTTTTTATAACAAACACTAGAGATAAATAACTTTGGAACTTAATGTTGGAGATGCAGATTTATCTCATCCTTACTCACTATTGTGTGCAGTACTTAGTTGGTGGTTGCATTAAAAAGATTGAGGTTTGATACTGCCATCTGCTGTCTGAGGACTGTAAGTGCGGCCTGTTTATAGCCTCTCTTTCTCATTCTCTCTCTCTCTCTGTCTCTTTAGTCTCGGCTGGTTGTGAAGACTGCTCTGAAGTTGCTGATAGTGTTTGTGGAATACACTGACTCCAACAGTCCACTCCTCATTCAAGCTGTCAACACTGTGGATGGAAAGAGAGGTTAAACATTTAAATCTTCTCTCATAATACTGATTCTCTGAATCCATCATGTGCCATTAAATCTTTTTTTTGTGTATGTTATTATCATGAAGACTTTTTTTGTTGTTGTTTTTTTGCTGTTGGCCAAACTGGAAGTAGCAGATTTTAACCTGCCTTGCTAACATTTTCACTGGCATTGTATTTCAGTAGGTGACTGAAAAAAATCATTAGATATTAAGTTTCTTTAGAAAAAAAACTTGAATAATTAACAATTATAACAACTAATTAATAATTCACTTATTAATAATTCACATAACACCTATGATTTCATATACATACTTTTGTGGGAAAGCAATGTCACGTGGTACAAAACCATTTTCAGATTTTTTTTTTTAAAGCCAATTCCAGCTTAAACTTCCAAGACTATCTCAAGATTTTTTTTTGCAAAGTCCTCATCTGTGTTACCAGTTAGATAATGCAACATATTTTGGTCCACACAATTTTTTCAATGTATCAGAAAAATGTTTTTGTTTGTGAGACAAAAAGGAAGATGTATTGAATATAGGAAGACCCTGAGCCATCCTTATTGCTGAGCCATTATTACTATTTTGATATGAATGAACTACAGTGGATATGTGTTCATTTTTGAGAGAGCTTAGGGCATGATTTGTCTTTTTCAGGTGTGAAGCCTTGGACGTACCTAACAGATATCCTGTCTGCGAAGAATGGATCAGACACAGAGCTGCTCATCTACACTATGACCCTCATCAACAAGGTACTACAACATGGATATACTGACATTTATTAATCTACAACCATAATCTACATCAGCAGTTACCAATGCTGCACCTCAATGCTCTTGATGTGAATTTATTCCTCTGTCCTCTCAGACTCTGGCAGCGCTTCCGGATCAGGACTCATTTTATGATGTGACAGACTGTTTGGAGCAGTTAGGAATGGAAGGCATCATCCAGAAACACATGGCTAGCAGTGGCACAGAGGGTGACCTTAAACAGCAGTTCACCATTTATGAAGTAAACTCTCAATGCACCTCATACGCTCCATATGGCGTCTTTCAACTTTTTTTATTCAGCAAAGAGATGATTAAAATGATCAAAAACTATAATGGTAGTTTTCTGTTTTCAACAGTTGCATACTTAATTTCTTAAGCAGCAAATCATCATATTAGAATGATTTCTGAAGGATCATGTGACACTGAAGACTGAAATCATAATGATGCTGTAAATTCTGCTTTAGCATCACAGGAATAAATAACTTTTTAAAAGTTATTAAAAATAGAAAACCGTTATTTTAAATTGTAATTCTATTTCTGTTTTTTGATCATTTTTGATCATCAATGCTGTCTTGGTGAGCATGAGACTTCTTTCAAAAACATAAAACTTTTGATTGAGATTGTAACTCTAAAAATACTGAATGTTTTCTGCGTTTTGTATATTTTGTAGAATGCCCTCAGGAATGAAGATGACGAGATGGATGATGCAGCACCTCACATCCGTAGAGACAGAAGGAAACTGACCCCCAGCGAGCAGGACGGCAGGAGGAGCCGGCGGTCATCTTCTCACAGTCTCCCAGATAATTCCTTTCGACCCGCTTCCCCAACCGTATCCGTTTCTTCTAATAGCCCTACACTAGGTATCTTCAATTCAGTCTCTCTCCGTCCCCGTTCTTGTACCTTCTGCTGTCCACTGAAGGTTGTTTGGCTTGTTTCACACATCCAGTGTCTGTACATCACTGTTTCGGATCCTATATAGACAGATTATAGCATTAACACTTCACTTGCATTATCTGTGTTTCAGAGGTGATGCGCACAGCCTCCCCTCAGCAGTCAGATTCCTCTTATTCTCCTGTTCCTGGCAGTCCTGTGTTGACCAGCCCATCTTCTACAACATCTGGCTCCCTAACTCCACCCCTCGCTCAGTTGACTAGCGGAGCAGAGACTGTTGCCACCTCTGAGCAGGAAAATAACTTGTGAGTATTAACAGTGTGATGTGTTTTTATGCATTATTACACATTTATAAACAAATCATAATATGTTTTGTTATACAATGCCTTTCAGTAACCAAAAGAGAAAAACAACAGTAAATATGCCCCCAATGCATTATAATGTTTGTCCACTTTGGGGTAGTATAACCTAAGGAGACTTTTTTTTTTTATCTCTGGCACTTTAGGACAGAAAAGGTTTAATGAAGGATGATAATTAGGTTTGATTTTTAGTTACACTATTGTCTCAGATGAGAATCCAGTCTGAGAAGGATTGTCCAAAGAAGGCAAAGGCGTGTCTCCCATGTTCTCACCCTATAATGCCAATAATTCAAAAACAAACAAAAACATGTTTTTTTTTTTTGCATGGGTTCATGTTCATTCATGTTCATACTGTAGGAAAAAAGTTGCTTGTGTATCGACTAGGAAATCAATCAGTAACAGTTTTACTATTTTGTATAATTGACTAATTAATTTCCACACATACCCACAGCAGTGTTATTTTGGTATTATATACTTAGTATATCATAGTATTCATTAATATTTTGAATTGGCTATTTTTATATTTTCAGTTTTATTTTTAGTAAAACCTGACCCACAGTAAACAAACTTACATACCTTGTTATTTGACTGACAGTAGGGAATTTTACTGACCAAACCAAACATTCCTTCCATATTTGTTTATTCTTTGGTATGCGTGTTTGTGTTTGTCCTGTGTGTATGGTTGTGTTATAGAGATAAACACACATCCCTGCACTCTTCTGCTCTCTTCTTTATGCAGACATAAAGCTATTAATCACACTCTAATGGTAATGCTTGGTTGTCACACATGATGGAACACTTGATGAGTAATACCTACCTACTTCACCTACTTTTTGCAGCTTTACTGCACAGGCATTATCAGAGTCTAAAAAGGTTTTACACATGGCCAGATTGGTCAGTGGTTGATGCAGTACATGGAACATTAGTGGTAAATCGAGTATTAATTCTCCAGACTGTGCAGGTAAAGTAAGTCCTTATACAGATGACCTAATTACCTGGATTCATAAGTAGATGCTCATTTTATTTTCTATGTTCTGTGAGTCTTACTTAATTACCATGTGCACCCAAGATTCAGCACAAATTAAGTACTGACACTCAAACAATCCATCATTCTCATTATTTATAAGCCATTTATATAAACACAATTATTTGTGCATAGAAAATATACTATTTTGCTTATGCAGACTTATTGGAGCAAAAAAAGAAAGAAAAGTATTTCCATTTGATTGGTAACACAGACCTGCATCATACATGAGTGAAAGGCATTACTTTCGCTTAAGAACTTGTACATTTAATTTAACATTTTCATATTGTCAGGTGTTCCATGCAGGGTTTTATAGATGGGTAAACTAAAAAAAAATAAAAAAAATAAAAACCAGCCAACCAAAACTTCTCACATACCCCAAGTCACAATAAGACATTTCACTCTTTGGCCAAATGCAACACTTGAAATAGCACATTGAGTCAACAGTCCTTCCTTGCACATATATGTGGAAAGTGAATGTTTTATTTGGGAAGCTTTCTTCTCTGCGTAGGGCTACAGGAATGTTTTGTAAGGTTGGACAGGATGTGTTTGGTCTTTAAGGTCCTGAACTGGGCACAATTGTTGACTGCCTATCAGCTCTCTTGATCTGAGCTTGTTTTCCTCAAAATGTTTTGCCAGTTTGATGTGATGGGGAACATGGCCAGTCACAAGCACAGATCTTAAATCCAAAAACACCCCAATTTATATTTTAGTTTCCTAAATGATATGTTCATTTTAATGACGTATGCATATTTTTATATGCATAGTGATAGATAACTAAATTGCATAATATAAAAATAATTATATACAATACATAAAGTTTGCATTATTTCTGAAATAGCCATGTGTCATAAATAATCCTTTAGAGTAAGTGTGTGAAATGTTTGTTTAACACTGGTGACCGATCACTTTTGGTGTCCTTAATTTTAACCATTTCTATTCATATGCCGTTTTCCTCCTCTTCTAATTCAGTACTGCGTTATTTCTCTATGACTCTGGGTGGTGATGACTGGGACTGTTTTTCTCTGATTCTTGCTGATGTTTTGGTCCTGTCGACATATTAACCCTCTGTTTGTCCATGTAACCACCATCACTGTTCCACCTCTTTCTCTCCATTTCTTTTTCTTCCCTCCCACGAATCCTTGGTCATTCACTAGGGGGCGCTCTTTTATGAGTCAGTACATAGCTCACATGGGGATTTCTAGACGGAGGTTAAAAAAGGAGAGGTCAATAACTGAGGAAACCTCAAGCATCTCCAACAGGTCTGTATCACATTTTACATCACCTTCTGCTTTTGGCCTTTGACTAATTATTTGGTGTTTGTTGAACTTGTCCTGGCTACTGATGCTGATACTGATACTGATGCCAGTTTAGAGTTCATGTCATACATGAAATAATCTGGATTTTTGATTATAGATCCAGGTGTTCGGTCAGCGGGCCAAGGTAACTTCAACAAATTCATCTCATTTCAAACTTTTCTTAACTAACAATTACATTTTACACCTTTTTTTTTGTCTCACTAACATTAATATCTGACATTAGACAAGGTACATCACAAACATAAAAGGTGATCTAGTCGCTACATATAACAATAATACAGAAACGGAGTATGAATATTACATAATAGTCGGGGAGACGGGGACGGGGACAAATAGAGACGGGGAGGTTTTTGGCAGTGGCAGAAGTATGTAGCACACTAAAGAAGTCCTGAAAGCTGCTCTCTTGAGCAGAACCGCAGAAGAAGCCTCTCACAGTTTTCTGCTCACTGCAGCAATGTTGTCAGCTCGTCTGCGAAATGATAAATAAAAGTGCTTACTCTAATGAAGCAACAGGGTTCAATGTGATCCATCTGAAGAAACATCGCATGTTAGATTAGCTTACTGGTGTTACAGCTGCCCAGTGCTGATAGTCATTTATCAGTTTATGGAGTGAAACTGATATACTTAATAATTATATGAATTAATAATAATAGTTATAGATGAAGAATTATAGAGTGATGTATTTTTTTGACAGTACAACAAGGTTGTTGTTACTTAGTTTATTCATTGATGTCATCTACTAAAAAAAATATTTTTAACTAGGTTAATGTTAATTTATAAATATACTGTTACCATACACTACCATTCAAAAGTTGTTGTTGTTTTTTGGAAGGAAATTAATATTTCTTCAGCAAGTATGCATTCAATTGATCAAAGGGGACCATAAAGACTTTTACATTGTTAAAAAATGCTGCTCTTCTGAACTTTATATTCATCAGAGAATCCTGTAAAACAATTAGCACGCTTTACCGAAAATTATGCAGTTTTCGATAATATTAAGAAACGATTTTGAGCATCATATCAGCATATTAGAATGATTTCTAAAAGATCATGTGACACTGAAGACTGGAGTTATGATGCTTTGCATCACAGGATTTTTTTTAAATTAAAAATAGAAGTTATCTGAAATGATGATAATCTTTCACAATGTTACTGTTTTTACTGTATTTTTTATCAGATAAATGCAAAATATGAACGTTATCTGTTGATTTATAGAATAAAACAATGCGCCTTCAAATGTGTGTTTAGGAGTGAATGGAGAGAGTTTTCTGGCATGCACATTCTTTTTGTGTTTGTGTGGACCTGATCACATGAAACTGCCCATACAGTGCTATAGCCTTGAGCTTGCTCTGACTAACTGTCTCTCCGCAGAGCGTCTTTCACAGAAACGGACTCTCCTCAGGAGATCCCTGCCCAGCCAGCTGCAGAGCAACCCAGCCGGACAGAGGGAAAGAGAGTCTTCAAGTAAGTAAACAACTGATGCTCTTATAGGAGGAATGAGGGGGAAAGGCAGAGGAAAGAGATGTGAAAGGATCTGTAGGTATTAGAGGAGGCAGGGCGTGGGAATATTTTGGGAACAACTTGAAGGTCTTGAATGAGTTGAAGGGCATGAGTGAACAATGTGAGCTGTGATAAACATTTCATATGAGGGACCTGCTGCAATAACTGCAGTTATAGGAAAATAGGTACGTTTTCACTTTTTGATGTCTCAAAAAATATTGAAATTGGCGTTTTAGTCTTCAGACTTTTAGTTAAATGCTGTTAACTTGTAAAAATGTCTAAACTGAGGATTAGTCCTCCTGTTTGAATAAGATCAGGTGCGTTTCTTGCTTTGATCTTTCGTCTTTTACTCAAATATTCTTTGCTTGTATTTGTACTTTTTTAGAACAGATTTGCTTTCTTCAGTTAATTCTTTGCCTGTTTTTGTTCTACTTTTCTTTCTGTTTTTGCCAAATACCTGATTATGTTTTCTCTCTGTCTCTCTTTGTGTGTATTCTCTCTCACTCCTCTTCTCTTTTCCCTCATAATATTTGGCACATCTCCTAATCTCTCTCTCTACTTCTGTGGCGCCCAACATTCCTGCGCTTTGCTTCTCTCTCTCCTTTTACAGACAGCACCAGGCAGACAGTTTTTGGTGAGTAGCTGCAGTGTGGCCAAAGAATGTGGCTTTTGGAGGTGCTAGCACTTTAAATCATTGTGATGCTTAGTCATTTTGAGGAGACAAATTCATAAGGAGGGAGGGTTGGAGGAAACAACTGATGGCTGGCTGCTTTAAGAATAAATTGGATCAATCCATTAAATCCGCTAACGTGATAAGACTAATCCACAATTTGTTTTTGAATGCAGTTATTTTTAAGTTTTAAGTTTGTTATTCTCTTCAGATGTTTATTATTTTTGATATTTCAGACAGAACATTGGTGCATAATAAAAAAAAAAAAACTTTTTATTGTCGTAAATGGACACTATTGCTTTCCTGTCTGACTCTCTCTCCCCCCCTCATTATCATTCTTTATTCATGGGAAAAGTAAAGTTCTTCTTTTATCTAAAGTTGTTACTCAAAGATGACTATCTCTTGTTTTTGTGGGCTGCAATCATATCTCCATATTCATGGAAAAATTTGCTATTGTAGAAAACGAGAAAAAATCTTTTTTCCTTTCAAAGCTTTAAAAGCTCAAAGGATTAAAAAGTAGTTAAAAGTTTGTAAAGGGTCAAAAAAATAAAAATCTTAAAGGAAAAACACTTACATTTCTAAACCGGATGTGGTGGAATGTGCACAGTTTCTTCTTAAGGCATTTTCTATATGTTGAATGAGACTTGTGCAGTGAAGCTAACAGGAATTGATATGGACATTGTGTGTAAACTGAAGTGTTTCTCTTCAGTCCAGAGAGTGTGAATAGAGACTTGCCGGTTCTGAGGAATTTAGAGTAAGTATACTGCCGCTCTTTATGTTTACAGGCTCTCTTTCTGCATATACAGCATGCGGCCAGGTGTTTGGGGACTAATTCAGCTGCTATGCTCAGAAACTGAGGCTGTGTGGGTTTGTGTGCTGTATGTGAATGTTAACCTTTAATTTGTCTTTGTAAATTAATTTTTAATTTCATATAGTGTCATTCTTGTAATATTAACGATTCTATTATGGTGACAAACTTAAATGAAGTTTCAATGCAGTGGAATTGGGTTAAAAAAAAATATATTATTGTATAATTTGCTGCCTTTGTCAGCCAGCTTTAAGACAAACAAAAAGATTTCATGGTGACTAATTCATGTGAAGCGTTTCATTCTTTTACACATGCCTCGGTGTAACTGAGCTTTTACCACAACTCTTCTGATGGATCACTGTGGGGAGAGTTAATGCTTGACTCTAAGTTAATCAAACCTGATCGGCTTTGTGGTAATTGAAACAAGAACGAATCATGCAGTGTGTTCTACATCATCTACAGGGAAACAGTGGTGGCTTGTGGTTTTGGGGTTGTAAGGGACAAGCGGCTTTAGTGGTGGTGGTCTTTGTCAGACACTGGGCAGTATTTATGTGGTGGGATGCAATAGATTTGTAAAATGTATGTATTTATTATGCAACATTGCCTTTTGTTTTTGTGTAATTGAATATGTCTGATCTATTGTCTCTCTGAAATATAACTGCACATTTTCAGGAAAGTGTGTATTAACCTTTGAAATAATCTCTTTTTTGTTGAGTTTATTTTACTAAATGGAAGAAAAGTGTGGACAAACCAAAAGGGGTTCAGTCCATAAAGCTTAAATTCAGTGTATGCCTTTATAATTTGAACTAGTTTACCATTTCACTGTATTCTGCAACCACTCATTTCAGAGCAGGTCTACTATATAACTTATCCTCAGAATCAGAACATTTATTGCACCCAACCCTCCATTTACAGCTCAGTAAATGAGTGCTTCTTCTCCGATGGCTTTATAGAGACAAGTTCTTGCGTTCTCTGGCTGTGTCCCAGTGGGAGAAGAAAAAGAAGTCATTTGGCGTACATGAGAGGGAGAGTGTGGCGTCTACAGAAGCAGAGACGTCTACTGAAGCCGAGCAGCCGGTCTCTAGCTCAGACACCACAGGTGCTGATTCCTTACATTGTCTTATTATTATATTCTCCTTTTCAAATATGTATCCTGATTTCTTTCTTTTGAACCTGCTGCATTCTATCCCTCAACTTCTCTTTTTGTCCTGTTACGCTCCTTCTCTTCCTCTGCTTGTCTTGCTTTAAATCGTCGAGGTTCCAGGTTCCAGATTCAATGTTAATCTCTCTGCTTTCCCCCTGATCATTGAAGCTTTACTAAACCCGAATGCATATGAGTGTGTGTGAGAGTATTTGTGGTCATTTATTAGTCTGTTTGCTTGTGTGAACTGTTTCTTGAGCTTGTCTACACTCTGTATGTCAACTCCTCAAGGTTTTTGCACATACTGTTAATTGCCAATTGTGCTCTGATTGGTCTAGAGCAAGTTTGCCATGATTATGTAATGTGTCCTGCTGAGATACATACCTTTTAGCAGCATTCCAACTGTGATGGTTTGACTGCTTATTGAAACTGCACACTTTTAATTACTGCTTTTGTCATCTGGTTTGTTTCAAGCATAAATAGGAAGTTGCTCAACTTGATTGATGCTGTATGGTTGAGATGATTTGTTTACGTGTGTTCTTCCTCTGGAATCGTAGATCTTGCAGGGTTGAAAGTTTCTAATTTAGTAAGAGATGATTTTTTGTTATGGAAGCAGAAATTATAGTTGGACTACACGTATGTAACCACTAGTCCAACATCACTGCTGCATTTGTCTTCAACAGTAAAAAAAAAAAAAAATATATATATATATATATATATTAAAGGAGAACTCCGGTCAATTTTAACATTGAGCTAATTTTTTTGTACATTTGGAGTGCTGTCAGTACAGACAAAAACGACAAAAATCGGTGTTGCCTACACCGTGTTATCCTCTTTTTAAAATTCGCACCCTGTTGACTTCAATGGGGCAAGTTCTAAACCTGCTTTTAGCCTCTTAACAACCTTGATGTGTCATTACAAGTGCACAGCCATGTGAGTGGTGTTATTAAGAGTGACCACGGTCAATCTGACTGCAGTAGATGTGCAAGATATTAATAAAAATGATGTTAATTCAGCCAGCCCACATACCTGTATTTACTTCCTGTTTTCGTTCGAAGTCCACAGTAGTCGATTGTCGAGTTCGCGCGCGGGATCATTGGTAATTGGCGAATTTTAAAAAGAGGATAACACGGTGTAGGCAACACCGATTTTTGTCGTTTTTGTCTGTACTGACAGCACTCCATATGTACAAAAAAATGAGTTCAATGTTAAAATTGACCGGAGTTCTCCTTTAATAAATTGTTGTATGCAGGCAAATATCTTGTGAGATTTAAAGGGATGGTTCACCCAAAAATGAAAATTGTCATGTACTCGCCCTCATGCTGTTTCAAACATGTGTGACTTCCTTTCTTCCGTGCAACACAAAACATGTTCTGGAGAATGTTTTGGTGGTCATTAGCTTCCATTATATGGACAAAAACACTGACACATTTCTCAAAATCTGTTCTTTTGTGTTCCACAGAAGAAAGAAAGTCATACAGGTTTGGTTTCTTTGTGAGATTGTTTTTTTTTCTTCAATATGTGTATGTGTGTGTGTCTTGCAGGATCTATTAGTGGTCAGGAGTCTCGGGGGGTAAACTTGACCAGGCACACACTGGAGCAGCAAGAGGACACAACGACAGCCCACAATGAAGCAGGCAAGAGATTTATTCCTACCACCACCCTCCATCTCTGTCGGCCCAAGACATGAACATGAAGTTAATCATCAACAATCCAGGAGTCACTCTTAAACATGAGCTCAGTTGTATTTTCAAGCAACTAACTACAGCAGACATAGCTTTTTGAGACGCACTGTGTACAATTAATTGAACTTTTTTCCTCCACTTGGCATTTATTGACCCGTAGATTTCTTTAACTAGCTTCCTGCTCAATAAAATTCTCACACACAGAGATATAGTCAGACTATTACTTCTGTGTGAGGGCTTCTTTGGGAAGTCAAGAGCTTAATTTCAAACAAAAATCTCCAAAGTGGAAATATTTGAGAGCGATTCCATCTCTTCCTCTAGTGGCCGTGATCCAAATGAGACAGCCACTAACGGGCCTTTCGTCCAGGGAGAGTAAATTAGCTGAAGCAGAGGGCAGATATAAACTATTTAGATTTCGAGATGGGAATCTCCCCTGACCAGTTTCCGTATTGCTTACTGAGGATTTAGGCAGCACTGATGGTTAAAGGGCTGTTAGAGCTGAGAAGAGTAACTGCTTCAGTAACCCAGTGCACACTAACAGCAGAGGATGGTAGCGTGTGGGAACAACATGATCTGTGCTTGCACTGGGCATTTTGAAGGTAGGATGTCTCTTTAGCATGCTGCTATTATACTTCATACTGTATATGGATCTGGAATGAAGATTACTGCTTGATTTTAAATCCTAAATTCTAATGTGAAGTGTTATATATATTTTATATATATATATATATATATATATATATATATATATATATATATATATATATATATATATATATATATATATATATATATATATATATATTTATATATATTATCAGGAAACATTTACACAATCTTTTTTTCCCCCCAAAACGATACATTTAGTTGGCAAATCTCACGAGACAATTTTCTATACACGTCATCTGATCGGCCTTTATAGAGGCCACCGATCAAACTATATAAAGCCATTATCGGCCGATAACGATCTGCGCCCGATCAATCTGAGCACCCTTTATATATATATATATATCTCAACGGATACTGATATATAATAATCATAAAAAATTTTTTTTATATTGGCCAGTAAGCTATATGGTACTGATATATTGTGCATCGCTAATATTTTCCCTTCAGCACTGAATGATTTGTTCATGTTTCTCTAGAGGGTGGTTTGCAGCGTCAGGGCAGTACAGCGGAACAGCACAGCACCCTCTCTAATGACAGGAAGTTCATGTTGGACATGCTCTACTCCAAAAACAACATCTCCTCTGGAGGTCTAAAAAGTCCAAGTCTGGAAAGTGCACTTGAGGATCATGGGATCACCAGTATGGCCGGACGGCTCTCCAGACTGCAGTCGTGCTCTTCTCAGCCCACAGAGGACACGTCCAGACAGGCAGAGCTGGAGAGCCTCGGAGGTACTGCTCAGGCCGCTCGCGCCAGGCTAGCAGAGGAACAAATGCTCAAGAAGCTGCGTCCACAGTACAGTATCGAAGCAGAGACTCATTCACAGAGTTTGGAGAAGACGATGATGACACCATTGTCCAGGGGTAATCAGGATGCCTGGGACAAGCTGCAGCCCAGATCCAGACCTCTGCGGATTAAAGATCTGGACTTCTCTGATCTGATGGAGGAGGAGGATATCGATGTGCTGGATATAGATACTTTTGACACCGCTTTGCCTAATGGAGTACTGCCACCCCCTCCTCCAGTGCCAGGACAGGGTTCTGCCCCCCCACCACCACCACCACCACCACCTCCTCCTCCTGGATGTGCTACTCTGGCTCCACCCCCTCCTCCTCCACCTCCTCCTCCTCCTGGAGGTTTGAGTGTGCCCCCTCCTCCTCCAGGACTCCTTCCTCCATCCCCGTCTCAGGGGATTGATCCGGCTTTTCTAAAGAAACGGAAAACGGTCAAGCTGTTTTGGAAGGAGCTTAAGCAGCCTGACAGCCCCAGGAAGTGCAAGTTTGGGCGGGGCACAGTGTGGGCTTCGCTTGATAAGGTTGCAGTTGATACAGCTAAGCTGGAGCACCTGTTTGAGTCCAAGGGCAAGGAACTTCCAGTAGCAAAGGTGCGATGGGCGAACCGGTTTATTTTTTTTCCTGTTTTATTCATTTATTTTATTCATTTCCTTTGTTTGTTTTTTTTTTACAAATTTGTTTACAGATTGTAATCTTATACAGCAAAGGTACTGTATACAGTCTTATGGATCTTACACATACAGATCAAGAAATACAAATAGAGCATATGTAACTTGAAAAATTATGTCAAACAACCCAAACTGGCAAACCTGTTTATGAATAAATCATTTCAGGTTTACACAAAAATACCAATTTCTTAATGTACTAAAGCGATTTAAACTCTTTTTAATTAATTATTATTAAAGCTGTCGTATTAACCAGAGATCAGTGATTGCCATTGAATGTATCTATGAGTTAATGTTAAAGCTACAGCTTTAGTCTTTTTTTACAGTCAGTGTGAGTGCATGCTATAAATGATTTAGGTTTGTTTCTGTAAGTTGAATTTATTTCTCCATTTCATACAGAAATGTGCTGAGGCCAAGAAAGCAGCAATTTCAGTGCTTGATCCTAAGAGAAGCAATGCCATCAACATCGGCATGACTGTTTTGCCTGCTGTACATGTCATCAAGAGTGCCATCCTCACCTTTGATGAGTTCGCCATCAGTAAAGAGGGCATTGAGGTAATGTAGCACTAGCATCCAACAGGGGGCAGTAGTAGCTCACGCATTTAGCATTCATTTTTTTTCCTGTATTGAGAATAAATATCAGTAAGTCTTTTTGTACATTTTCTTCTTCCCTCTGCCTGTAGAAAATCCTGACCATGACTCCGACAGATGAAGAGAAACAGAAGATTCAGGAGGCACAGCTGGCCAACCCTGACGTACCGCTGGGTTCAGCAGAGCAGTTCCTGCTCACTCTGTCCTCCATCAGTGGCCTTTCAGCCAGATTACAGCTTTGGGCCTTTAAGCTGAACTATGAGACACTGGAGAAGGTCAGAACTTTTTCCTAATTTTATACTCAATTTTTATTAAGAATGAAAATCCTGTTTGCTCCAATAGCTTGGTCAAAATAAAATCATTCACCTAAGCAGTTACTACTGTATCCTAGACTAGTATTAATCTAGGTTATATCACACCATGCATAGGTGATCATGTGATCAAAACCTTTGAGTCTGTAAGATTTCTCTTTTTTTAAAGTCTCATACTCACCAAGACTATATTTATTTGAACAAAAATAAGTACAAACAGTAATGTTGTGAAATATGATTACAATTTAAAATAACCATTTTCTATTTTCATATATTTTAAAATGTAATTCATACATGTGATGCAAAGCTGAATTTTCAGCATCATTACTCCAGTCTTCAGTGTCACATGATCCTTCAGAAATCATTCTAATATGCTGATTTGCTCCAGAAACGTTGTTTTTATTATTATTATCAATGTTGAAAACAGCTTAATATTTTTGTGGAAATCTGCAGGATTTTTTGTTGAATATAAAGTTAAAAAGAACAGCATTTATTTGACATGGAAATCTTTTGTAACATTATATAAAACTATCACTTTTTTAATCAAATGAATGCATTTTTGCTGAATAAACGTATTAGTCTTAAAAAAAAATCTTACTGACCCCAAACTTTCAACGGTGGTATACATATATGATTAATAAATGTAACTATCGATAGAACACGTGTCTTTTGTCATATTGCTGGTGTGACCATGTTGAGATTCTATTTATTGTTTTGACTTTCTTTATCCAATTTCAGACTTATTCACAGTCCTGTTTCAGTATTGCATTCTGACTGGTCGCTGAAATACACATTAATGGAATTTAGTAATTTAGGCTTTTTTAATTCAGTTATGTTGACCTTGATTGGTAATGAATGTATGTTACCAATGAGACATTCATTTCCAAACATTCTTTCTCAGTCTGTCTCTTCTTGAATGTTGCAGGAGATTGCAGAGCCTCTTTTTGACCTCAAACTGGGTATGGAACAACTTGCCAAGAACAAAACCTTCAAGCATATCCTCGCAACACTACTGGCCATTGGCAACTTCCTCAATAGCTCCAATGTAAGTGTTCCATCTCCTCCGCAGTCCTAGAAGCAGAGTTACATTTAAAGCACCTGTACTAAGGGCAGGTGCACTGGTCTGAAGCTTGATGGTCACATGATTAGTCAGAGCAGCCCTGTGATGATGCCTTAATCCTTTGCTGTTGCCTGTGGGAGATAAGATATGATTAAGACCGCGCATGACACATTTTCTATGCTCTAGTATGTGACGACCTCTTGAACTCTACAAACATATGTGTATAGTATTTAGGCTGTACTACCATGCATAGAACCAGGGCAGTCAAAATATATTTTCGATTTCACGGAATAGTTTACCCTCAAAATTGAAACTTCTTTCATCAATTCAGACTCCTTTAAAGGGACCATGAAATCCAAATGAACAAATCTTATTTTTTTATTGGAATATTGCAGTATATATTTTAAATGATGTATCGGTGCACATCATTATTTTGATATTGTTTTTAATTCATGTACCCTCATAATCTTAAATAAAAAAATAACTTCCCCTCCCATTTGTAGCAACATTTGTTCTCTGGTGTGAGAGCGGGACAACCTGCCACTCACATGAGATCACAGAAAACCACAACGGTCCAATCAATTCCCGATGGACAAAATCAAGTCCAGCCTTGCATTTTTTTTCTCTCGTTCAATGAGCTGTTTCACTTGGATATACATCCCAGTATAGAAGAAAATACTTTTTAAAAAATGTTTATGCTACACTAAGAATAAAAGGCTTTCTGAACATCGCACATAATTTAATATGTGGGAACACTTTTCTTTCGTGAATCATTCATAAAATGTCATCGGTTTTAATGAGGTCTTTACAGCACTACCACTTCTTTATCTTGATGTCTGTTACAGTGTCATGTTCAAAACAAATCTTGACAGTTAGTAGTTAATAACTGTTCAGAACATGATGTCCTTTAATTTGTGCCACTCTATTTAATGAGTAGCCATCTTAATATGCTTTTCCTCACAAATTGACAACAAAGCCAATGTAGTAGTTCACTGAACATCACATGACTTTAATTGGCACTTCTCATCTCTCTTGCAGGCTAAGGGCTTTGAGCTCAGTTATTTGGAGAAGGTAACTGAGGTAAAGGACACAGTACACAGGCAGTCTCTGCTTCATCATACTTGCAATTTTGTGGTGGAAAATTACCCAGATACGACAGACCTTTACTCAGAGATCCCTGCTATTACACGCTCTGCTAAAGTATGTGCCTCAGAAAATTCTTTATATGCATTTTTTGTGATTTCTTTGTCCTGTTTGTTTTTTATCTTCATTACATTATTATACATTATATGATTAATTTGTACCGAAATGTTAAATGCTATCCCCCCTTTAAGCTTTTATAGTACCGTAGTTGTTTTTTTCTTGTAAAGGTTTTATTTCTGTCCACATGAGTTTCTTTTCTGTTCTTTTTCTGCCATTGAAGGTGACTATCCAAAGAACCCTTTAGCATTCATCGTCATCATTTATCACTCCCTCCTTTCCTTTCCCACAGGTAGAGTTTGAGCAGTTGTCTGAAAACCTGATTCAGTTGGAGAGAAAATGCAAAGCCTCCTGGGACAACCTGAAAGTAGTGGCCAAACATGAAACGAAACCTAACTTGAAAAACAAAATGACAGAATTCCTGAAAGACTGTACTGAAAGGATCATCATCCTAAAAGTAGTGCACAGACGCATTATTAACAGGTAACACCCCCCCCCCCCCCGCCCCACACACACACACACACACACACAAAAGCACTGTAACCTATTTTAACATGTTATATAAAAAGATTACAAATTCATTTGAATGCTTCCCTACGACGAGTTGACGAGCTTGAATGATGACTGTGCCTCACTTTTCAATTAGGATGAACTTGAGCATACAATATATTAAGTTCTACTTCCTCCACTTTGCAGGTTTCATTCCTTTCTGCTATACTTGGGCCAGCCCTCACACTCAGTGCGGGACACTAAAGTAACTCAGTTCTGTAAGATCATCAGTGAGTTTGCCCTGGAGTACCGCACCACTCGAGAGAGAGTCCTCACCCAGAAACGCAAACGTGCTGTCCACCGGGAGCGCACCAAAACCCGGGGCAAGATGATCACAGAGGTGTGGAATGAAAGCTCTCGAGAAGAATCATACATTTAAAGCATACTTTGCGTACAGATATCCTTTTGATTCTGTGTTCTACTACTCTTATTCCATCATGTATAAAGTTTAAACTGCGGTCATTTGTTTAAACATACCTTGCAGAATCTGTCAAATTTGAGCTAGGATCATAAAAATTGCATATTTTTGTTTTATTTTATTTAGTACTGCCCTGACTTAGCTATTTTATATATCGGATGTTTACATAGTCCTTATTCTGCGTGTCATGTTTTTATGGGATAGTTGTTCATGATTCCCCATTGTTCTTCAGAAAAATATTCCCCGTCCTGCACATTCTTTGGTTTTCCAGCATCTTCTGCATAGTTGAACCCTTTCCAGTAGTGACTATGATTTCAAGATCCATCTTTTCATATTGAGGACAGTTGAGGGACTGTACATAACTATTACAAAAGGAGCAAACATTCACCAATGCTTAAAGAGGAAAAAACACGATGCACGACTTTTTTTTAAAATACAATGATCAGGGTAAATTGTACTTGCATGTTTCCCAGAAGACAATAAGCACCTTATATAGCTTTTAAATGGCAGTATGAAATGAAAATATATGATATATATATATAAAAAAAAAAAAGAATCATCCTTTCAGTAGATTTTTTTTTTTCATTGCTATTGCTAGAATTCCCAAGACCCAGACAAAATGGTGGTCTTCAAACACTCAGCAGTATTAAGTATAAAGCATTTAGCCAGCCCATCTCGGACAATTTTCTCAGCCATTTAACAGTTAAGCTCTATTGACAACATTTGTGGCATAATGTCGATAAGGGCCGTCGTAAGAGAAAACTGTTTCATGGCCTTGTCCACAACCCCACTGTATCACCCTCAGTCGTCAAGTAGATTGAGACAAACCATTACCAGTAACTAATTCTACTCTCTGAATCTTTTCACAGACAGAGAAGTTTTCTGGAGCAGTTCCACAGCTGTGTCTGGAGGACAGCCTATCCCCAGTTTCTTCAACAATAGAATCAGAGCCAGCCCAAGAGGAGCATGAGAACATGAAAAACCTGCTAATCACCAACGACGACAACAGCAAGCTGCGCAGGAGCCGTGCTGTCCGAAGTAAGAGACCACAACGTTGCATATCCAGGAAATAAGTTAGAGTTTAGCTGTTTAGACCAGTCACAGTCCTGCTTTGACCAACCTTCCTGTGGAATTTAGTTCCATCCCTCCTCTAACACACCTGCTTTAGAAAGTTCATTAGCTGATCTCCAGAAGCAGAACCAAGGACTCACTGAGTTTCAATCACAATTAGTTTAGTTGCTCAACACAGATGATGCTTGGTGTCTTAACTTTTTTGTTTGTTTGTTTAAAATTGAAATAAAAATTATTATTATATATATTATTTTTTTTACCAATACAATGATTTGTGAAGTCCAGCCCAGATTAAAGGACAATTTGGTTTAATGAATTTGTTGTTATAATTATTATTTATTAATTATTTGTATTTATTTATTTGGGCGTCCTTTTATAGAGATTCTGACCACTGGTGGTGACACTCTTCCAATTTCACCAACCCTTCAGTGGAGTGATGAAGGTATAGAGTTTGGAGCATGGATGTGTGCAAAGCACTTGTGCAGCTTTCAATATATGATAAAGCTTTTGTAATTTATGAAAGCATTAAGGTTGGGTCATTTAATCTCACAGAGGGGCCTTATGACTCTGACTGCTCTCCTACTTCACCAGTAGAGAGCCAATCAGCACAGGATGATGATGATCATGAAGGTAGAGCTATCGCACAGGCTGCATGGAGTGGGTTAGCTCAACTAACAGATTTATTATGGACTAAATAGTAAATAATGATGTATTTTTGAAGTGATTGTAGAGGGCTAACTGTCAAGACAGACATAAGAAACCTGGATGAATAAGCCATGGATTCCAACTTCACAACCAATTCTGTATTTGCCTGAATATCTATGACCTTTTTACAAATGATTGATTTTCATCAGCTTGCCAAGAAGTAGAACCACTGCCTCACTCATTTTAACGCTTTCCTTGAAGGATCTTGGACCTGTTTCTATTGTAATTAAGCAAAGATTTGATTGATCTGTTGTACTATTTCTACACAGGTTTAGGCAGGGTTAGCGCACCCATGTCTGTAGCCAAAGAGGACAGCGCCAGCTCACAGGATGATGCCACAGATGAGATCATGGATCGGCTGTTTAAGTCTGTCACCCAGAATCCCACAGAGAGGGCGTCTAGTCCAAAAACACGGAAACGTTCGCGGCTTAACCGAAAGTCATGTGAGTACATTTTGACTGTCAATGCATTTTTTATTTGTTTGTTTTTTTGACCACTGAACTTCATAACCAGTTCTGAAGGTTGTTTTAGCCCTAAACCTGTGGGATGAGATTAAGGATTTAGTCACTGTTTGCATTCAACACTATCTGTATCCAAAACACAATGTAATCTGGCTTTTACCATTGCTTGGCTTTCAAAAGCCCCTAAATCTCCCTGTCAGATCCATATCGTGCCACCTCTTTACTTCTGCTTGTACCGGATTGAACTGCTAGACATCTCAGAATTCGAACACCACAAAGAGCCTTTTGTAGGGCACATTCTTGCAACTGTGCTTTTAAAAAAGGAGAGCGAAAGCACACAAACCTCCAAACCTGAAAAGCCTTTTGGGTTTATTTATATTATTCTGAAGTGCATTACGGTATGTCTTAATGTGCAGTCACATTTATAGCTGTTCAGAGAATTTTCACGTGCAAACTCCAGTAATTTCAGTAAAAATCCATGTAATCATTTTGCATAAAGGGCGAAAGATTTTTGCACGCCTAACTTCACATCGGTTTCAAGTGAATTTGCTATGTTGACCAAAAGAAAGCTGCTTGGTTTGAAAGTGACTTCTGTGTGAGCGGTGCATACATTGCTACATTATTGACAAAAGACAGTGGACCATTTTTTGCAAATTCGCTAATGTGTTCACACCTTCACAGTTCCAGATCATTATTTCCAGTCTTTATACATGTGCAAGTGGCATTATATGGATGTCTGACATTGAGTGGCTTGTTTTATTTTACAGTATAACGTAATGTGCATTGTGTGTTGCAGTGCGGAGGACTCTAAAGAGTGGGCTAAGTGTGGATGTGGTGCAGGCCCTTGGCCTCGGCAGTCCTAACGGGAAGGTCTGAAGCTGTAGGCTTTTGGCTGTGGAAAACTCTTGCAAGGCAGAAATGAGGCCATGAGGAGAGCTGTATTCATGATCGGAAGAACTGCGATAACAAAGGGATCTTCACTGAAGAGGGATCCCTGCATCTAATTCTGTCCGCCAATCTAAACAATTCAGTGGATGAATCATGTGCTTCCAGTTGAAACAAACAGCTGCGTTACTGTACAAATACCTGAAGTGTGTGCATGATATCTATTAGACATATTATGATTTGATTGGTACAAACTTTATTTGCATAGTATTAAATATCAGCCTACGTTTACTGATGAAGAATAAATGTAAAGTGCTAAATATTTTTAGCAGATGGACATATATTATTTTGTATAGAGACTTTAGCATAGATTGGAGAACAATTTATCAGTCAAAGACATGTATTTAAGGGTTTGAAAGGTTTTAAGTTAAAACTGCATTTTTAAAGACAATTTTTATACTTTCGCCATATCTGTTATGATGGCTCGGCTCAAGGTTAGGATTGTGGAAGCCAGTTACTGAGATCAGTGCAATAGGGTAACTCAAACACACTGTTTTCATGGGCCCATTAATGAAGCCGGACCCTGGATTAAACTGCACTGTTAGTAATGATTGGCCATTAAAAACTCTTTAGTCCTGGACAAGGTTTAATTTGTGTCTGGAAAGCTGACCCATGTGCACCTGGATAGTGTTCAACTGAATATCCTGACTACCAAGGAGATCTTGATTAGAGAGGACATAAACTAGGTCACATGTTTGTTTATCTTTTATTTATCACAGCGCTTTCTTGATAGGTTTGTGGATTCTACAACACAGTCGTGTATTCTGCTGTATTACATTTCTGTCCTGATATTTATTAATGTGCTCATAGTCGAGAGAAAGGCGGGAGATTATTTTTTCAACCATTCTTTCACATTTTCAGTTTTTGACGTGTTAGTTTCACCCTTTTAGTTATTCCATTGTTATGGTGTTATAAGATTTGTGCATGGACCACTCTCTCGTTAAAGAGAAATGTTGCGTTAAAAAGCAAAACATTTTATCTTGCCCTTTATTACTGTTACAAGCACATATTTTAAGGATTTTCTTGGTATTGCTGTTTTTGCACAGGGGTTTATGCTATAAGAATTTAGAGTCACTATGAGTCACTCTGTTGTTTTATGTATGACCTTATTACCTGTCTGCATGAGTGCATGTGTTCTTCACTCTGAATGTATCACTATTAGCGTGTCCCCGTCACTACTCTCGACACCTGCACAAATAAAGTTTGTTTGCAAAGAAATTGCAAGTACAGTACTTCTAATGTTAGACATTGTATTCTGATTCAGAATTGTTTTACAAAGACATGTTGGCCTCGAAACCCAAGACAGTGCTCTGTTTAAAATTAAAATAAATGTTTTATTAGACTTTTTCTGTTATTATTCTTTATTTGCTTAGTGCCACAGTCAAACCATCTAGGAGAGCTGTTTTGATCTCCTGGAGGCGCATCTGTCAATTCAATTGACGGCTTCTTTTAGTGATCTATTAATTTGAATATACTGCTTAAATAACTAAATCGACTTGTTGTTGATTCTGCCATAACTAGCTATTTATTTCTCATTTATGTCCCTTTTCATTGCATGGCACATAAAACTAGGCTGATAACGCGAGTTTTGGGTGCGCACTGTCTGTTTGATGAGGATGAGTTACGGCTCTTTAATAAGAACCTCCTCGTGCAAGAAAACGAATCACGTGTCCCTATCCTATGGTCCCTATACGCCAGCTGCACCTTCGCGAGTTACCGGCGAGTGGAGTGTGTGTTGATGTTGTAAACCGGTAACGGGGCGTCCCGTGGAGGGCTTACCATTGCAACAGGAGTGTATAAAAGAAATTGAGATGACACGCCGTTGAACACGCCGAAAAGATGCGGTGCTTGAGTTTGCTTCTGTTCATAAAGGTGGCTAGTGATGCAGCGACTGACCTTTACGTGACAGGAGCGTCGCTCGCGCCAGAGCCAGGGGTAAGCGCCGCACCTGCCGTCACATCCCCCGTCGCCTCCCGCTATACTCCAGCCCGGGAAGAGTACGGGCATCCCGGGATTGCGCTCGCCCGGTCTGCGGAGGAGCCGTCGGCGCCGAGCACGGAGGACGGAGAGTCGTCTCAGCACCACGGAGGAGGGTACAATATAGTGCAGTGGGAATGGAGCTACGTGCAGACACCTTACATTATAGCCAGCTGGCTTTTGGTGGCCAGTGTGGCAAAAATACGTAAGTTCTGTTATACAATCTTACGAGCTTTGTTTTGGATGTAATATATAGGCCTAGTAGTGTTTAAAAGAAGCTTCCGAGCTCACTCTGGCTCTTGGACTGATACACCTTAAGTGCAGGAAGTTGATTGTTGAGGACGTGAATGTGTAGTGCGTTTTATTAAAGTGGGCCTTCGGTGCTGTGAGTGTTGGTCAGATGGCTGTAAAAACGGTGCGTAAAAAGCGCGAGCCACTTGCGCTTCCCTTCCGCATCCACTGTCATTAAGTGACAGACGCTGGTGGTTGCCATGGCAATAAAGCCCATACGTTTCCTCTGGGACATTTTCATACAATAATAAAATGGGCTTTTAGCTTCACTGGAGATGAGCGAACAGCGTTAAAAAGACAGTAGTGTACATTAGGATTATCATTTTGTACCTGTAATTTTCGTAACTTTTTGCAATCCGTGCTGTAACGCCCCGCGAGTATTTCTGTCGAGTGTGAGCTCACCGTGTTCCCGCCATAGACCATGCCATAGACGGCTCCCGCCGATCCGGGAGTCTCCGCGGAGTAGCGACGAGCTCTGATTGGCTATGATGACTCATCTTTCCATCATCATTCTCACGTTTTGGCTGTGGTGGTGGGAAGTTCGATTCATGTCCGCGAATCGGTTCTTTCGAATAGTTTACTACAAATAACAGGACAGGTTCAGAAAGCTATTCGGTTATTCTTGTAGGCCTACGTCACCTGCTATCATGTGGTTTGATTAATAATACTGTTTATATAGCTACATATATATTTTCCCAATTTCAGCTTGTTGCAGGCTTTGTTTTTTATAAACCGAATCATGTCTGCGAAGTCATTTTGAGCCTAAATATAATTTGCATTTACAATGGTAAAATTAATTTATATGTATTAGCTTATATGTAAAACGTGCATTAATAAAACTCTCATAACATCATGTTGTAATAGTTTCCAGTAGGCTCCCAGACAGCAACAGTGTCGCCCAGATCTGGCCCACATCTGGTACAGTGTGGAATCCACACGTACCAGATGTGGCCCGGATCTGGGCTGACACTATGTTGCTGTCTGGACTACCGGTACTTTAAATTATTATTAACGTTTCTGTTAAGTAACTTTTCATCAAATTCATCAGTCAAATTCCCGGTTCACTCCAAATAGGCTTCTGCTACAGCATCTATTCTCTGCTCGTTACGAATTAAATGATTCTCGGTTCGTGAGTTTAAGAGTTCACTCGAGAAACGCTCGATTTGTCCTATTCGTGAACGATTTTTGACGTCTTTTGATTCACTTAAAGATCCGAATCATGAGAATGATTTCTTCATGTTGAGAGGTCTATTTTACAGTGGCCGAGAGAGCTCAATGCGCTGCAACTGAAGAAAACATGCAAATAGAAAAACACCCGCAAATTAAGAAAACATCTTCATCAGTTTCACAACACATGTGTGCTCCAAATACTCGCAACACAACCAAATACAGAAACGCTCTGCAAATAGCACAGACCACAACGGAAATGTTTCCAGGGGACCCCAATAGGTGACGAACCCGGCTGGGACATGCATGCTTATTGCTCGTGAGCATCCCTATGCCCTACTCCCTTCGAAGGGCAGACGGCAGAGCCCTTAAACTGGGGACTTTGGAGTGAGTAGGGCACTTGTGTGCCGTTTGGTGCTGCGTTCCAGTCCACTTTTAGACATGCACTTGCGAACTTCCCTAAGCACTTCCCCTCGGGGGAATCCCTGAATTCGTGAAGTGGACGATGGAAGTGTATATGGACAGACCCTCGCTCCCTCGATTTTGACCGAAGGAGCGAATCTACTTCATATGTACACTTCAGGCAGCTCCATATACCACAATGCAACACGATTGTGACGTCACCGCAGATCTCGTCTAATCACCACCACCACTCAATGATATATAAATTGTGTTTAGGTTGTTTAAAAAAAAAAAAAAAATCATATCTATATACATTTGGATGCTGCATTAAACATAATACATTTTTTTACATAATAAATCAACTCCATAGCTGATTCCAAGTGATCAAGGGCTTAGGACGTTCCAATTCAGCCCATTGCAGTTTCCGCCAGTAGTGGGCACTCGTGCAACATAAGCAATGACGTACATCCGAGTGAACGAGACGGGGGGGAAATTAGCGAGTGAAGGGCATGACAATTTTGGACTGGAACACAGCAATGGTAGCCGTTTGGAACACACTTGGGCCCTGTCCCAAATGGCGCACTTCATGCGGACTTTCGGTCTCGTGGACTTAAATTGCGCGTGCTCGCCGAGTCTATGAGTCCGTAGGCCGTCCCATTTAGCATTTTAACGCTCTGAAGTGTGCTCAACAGCGCCCCCTTTGTACCCTTGAAGCAGTCTTCCGCGAAGCCCGCATAGATGCAGGCTCCACGCACTTTAACTACCCAGGAATCCTTGCGAAAGGCCAATCAGACAACGGATGGGAGGAGATTTCGCTCACGGACAATTGTTAACATGGCTGAGAAGAGAATATTTAAGTGTAATTATCATTACGGTTTTTATGACAAGTTTATACAAACATTATGATCATCGACCAGTGGTTGATGTCTCAAACATAGGCTAATAATAGCGAGCTGAATAATACGATCGCATTATGATTCATTAAATAAATAGAACAGAATGTCAGGGCTTTACTGAGTCATATGTAAACACAACAACAATAGGCAGCATATTTCCCCGAACCTGTAGCTCCTGTCCATAACAACAATCAGACCTTCTTCCTGTTTCCGGCGTGACGATCGAGTCTGTCCCAAAAATACCTCTCAATGCGCCCTCGCGGACTCGCGCTAAGGGCCCTGTAGGTCTGCACTACATGACGTCACCGAAGTGTGGACTCTGAGGAAGTCCACAAGTCCGGAGTGTGCCATTTGGGACAGGGCCTTGGTGAAGGGAGCAACGAAAGACAACGTCATTTCCTCATTATTTTCACCTGGGATGTTCCCATGACAACGCAGCACGGTGTCCATCAGCTGAATAGCTGTTATAATACCAGAAATATCTTATTATTGCTGTTAACATAACTATTGCAATAAATATACATTTTATACATAAAAGTTTTTAAAATATGTGTTATATATCTGTGTGTGAGTGTCTCAACTTTAAAACTTGCCGTCTCATATTTGGACCCTGCATTACCTAACATTTCTTATGAAACTTATTTAAACATAACATGACACAAATTTGTACAATGTAACTGATGTATATATTAATATCTTTCCCTCGTGTTCTTTTACTCTATCTTTGATTCGGACACAGCTATTGTTAATACATTTTGTATATTGTATACAAAGTTGTACGTTATAAACATGTCATCTCTGTATGTTTTGCAAAAAAATTAAATAATAATAAAATAAAGTAGACTTTGAGCTGTAAGCACCTGGTAAGCATGTCCCAGCCGGGTTCGTCACCTATTGGGGTCCCCTGGAAACATTTCCGTTGTGGTCTGTGCTATTTGCCGCGCCTTTCTGTATTTGGTTGTGTTGTGAGTATTTGGAGCACACATGTGTTGTGAAACTGATGAACTGATGTTTTCTTAATTTGCAGGTGTTTTTCTATTTGCATGTGTTTTCTTCAGTTGCAGTGCGTTGAGCTCTCTCGGCCACCGTACTATTTTGCGCTGTAGCAAAGCAAAAGCTCACAATCGTGCTCAGAAGTTTACACCCCTTGCAGAATCTGCAAGATGTTAATTATTTTAACAAAATAATAGAGATTATACAAAATGCATGTTATGTTTTAGTTAGTACTGTCCTGAAAAAGATATTTTACATAGAATATGTTTACATAAATCCACAAGACAAAAAAATAGCTGAATTTATAAAAAATTACCCCGTTCAAAAGTTTACATACACTTGATCTTAATACTTATACTTAATACTTAAACTGTGTCGTTACCTGGATGTCTGATCCCTTTTTTTCTTTTATTTTTTTTGATGGTTCTTGAGTCCCTTGTTTGTCCTGTGCCGTTAAACTGCCCAATTTTCGAGATGGTCCTCACTGCAGAACACGAAATCCAGGGGGAGGAGTTGGATCCAGATCCAACTCCTCCCACCTTACATATACCTAAACCTACCCATCTCCGCCCCCTGATCCCTAACCCCACCCCTAATCCTACCCATCTCCGCATCAGATATTTAAAAAAATAAATAAAAATTGGACATCCTCATCCTGTTCAAAAGTTTTCACACCATGCTCTTAATGCATAATGTTTCCTTCTGGAGTATCAGTGAATGTTCAAACCTTTTTTAATAGTTGTGTTTGAGTCCCTCTTATCCTCAATGTGAAAAGATGGATCTCAAAATAACATAGTCACTGCTGGAAAACTTTTGAATAGGGTAATTTTTATAAATGCAGCTATTTTTTGTCTTGTGGACTATGTGACCCTGATTTAGATATTTCAATATTCGGCCGAGATACAACTATTTGAAAATCTGGAATCTGAGGGTGCAAAAAAAATTGAGAAAATCGCCTTTAAAGTTGTCCATTTATGTTCTCGATTGTGCTGCATTTACTCACAAAAATGTTTTATATATTTACGGCAGAGGTGGGTAGTAACGAAGTACATTTACTTCGTTACATTTACTTGAGTATTTTTTGGGAAAATTTTTACTTTTAAGAGTAGATTTAATTGTGGGTACTTTTACTTTAACTCGAGTACATTTCTAATGAAAAAACGGTACTTTTACTTCGTTACGTTGGGCGACGTTCCTCTCGTTACTTTATTTTAATGCAATATGTTGTTAAAAGCGTAGTTTATTCCAAGCGCGCGCTCTCTCTTTTTTTCTGGGCATGAGCGATGCTCAATTCACAAATGAATCACTCTTTTGAGTCGATTCTGTTCAAAGACTTCATCAAACAAGTTGGGCAGATCTGTCTAAATCGGTTCGCGAATCAGTTTGAATGATCTGTTCAGTTTCCTGCACGCACTGAATCATCTCGGAGTCGTAACAGAAAGATTACATCAACATC